AAGTTACAAGTCAATTTCCCCATTAATATACAATTGCTAGTGTCTAGTGAAGTCAAGCTTAGTGGTGAGCTCTAGTACCCCAAGTCTTCCCCTCTATATCTTTCTCTACTTTATTAATCATTGAATTTTGTTTACTTCAATTTCATTTGCATAATATCTTAATCAATCAATCTAACGAATCTTTGATCACTCAACCTACTAACCCTATATATTGTTTCCATTGCTAGTGCCTAAAATCCCTTGGGACGATCCCTACTCACACTAGCTATATTTTTAGTTAGAGGTAGTAGTGGCTTTTACAAATTTAAAACTTGGCCACATTGCACACTCACACTCTTATGCTACGTCTGGTGTGCAGGAATGGAATGGAATGGAATACCCATTCCAACCATTCGTTTGTTTGGTGTGTAGGAATAGAATGGAATGAAAATCCATTCCAGGGAATGAAAATCCATCCCATTACTAAACCTATGGAATGGCCATTCCATTCCATAGTAAGATTAAATATTTTTGTAATATTCCCAATAAACCATTCATCACATTCCAATAAGGCAACAATATTTTGAATAGACCAAAAATCTTTCACATTCTATTTTTCACGTTTCTCGAGCTTCTTTATTAGACATAGTAAAGGTTTTTCACCTTCTCTCTCTTCTGAATATATCCAGAACTGCCATTGACAAAAAGTTACAGGACCTTCAATCATATTATATATATATATATTTATATATATATTGTATCATTAAATGTATCATTAAATATATATATATATATATATATATATATATATATATATATATATATATTAGCCTTTACATCAGCTTCTTAGGTTAAGTATTCAACCCGTTTTTGGATAAAATTGTACTGACAAAATATTAATTAGATTGATTTTATTAAAAAATAATGAAAAGGGTATTTTTGAGAAAAATCATTCCATTCCATATTTAATGATAGTCAACCAAATAATAAAATGGTAATAATCATTCCATTCCATTACGATTCATCATGCCACACCAAACATTAGAATGATAATATTCATTCCATTCCATTTCATTCTCATTCTCATTCCATTCCAAGTTGAATTCCATTTCATTTCTGTACACCAAACGTAGCCTTAGTTCGTATCATTTTCCAAACTTTGGTGCAACCGACGGCTACACACCACTTCTCTTTTTCTCTTTGGCAAGAGAAACCTCCAAAAGATCTATCCTCTTCTGCAGGGCGGCAGACTTGTTCACTTAAAGAGATTCAGCTGACAGTTTCTTCATAAAAACGAACATCAAGAAAGAGCTCTGTAGAAGAATAGCAGAGTGCCATCAAATAGATAAGCATCAAGAAAAGAAAAGGAGAAATCATAAGAAGTTACCTCCATTATAGACTTAGGAGTATGGGAAAGGAGGTCATCAACGCTCATTTGTTGTTGCAAAATCTCATCCCTGGGTGGCCACATCCCTCGGGCTAAACCCATCAATGTCTCCGAATCCTCAGCTCTAGAATCCCCTATAGTAATAGGGGAGCCATTAGCCTTCAACATCTCAGGGAACCACCTCTCGACCGAACCTGCAAAATCACCTCCAGCGGCATTTATAGAACCTGGGATTAAGGCACTTCTGCCACCAAAGGCCCCGGCTATAAGCTTGGAACTCTTGGAGGGAGGATCATCCCTCACAGGAGGACGCTTGTTCCCTTGCCCAGTTTGAATCCCCTTCTGTTTTGAGAAGTGGAAGATTTATTAGCACCAACCAAGGCACTCTTCCTTTCCTGCAGAAGCTTGGCAGCAGCCTCTCTCTCTTTCCTAGTCGAACAAGGTTTTGGAGGACGAAGTTCTATTACAGACTAAGAAAGAAGAAGAGGGGAACACGTAGCAAGATCAGCCTCAGTATTAAAAACCTCGAGGTCGATAGGTTCCTCGGGATTTTGAATAAATGCAAGAACGTCCCTAGAAATCGCCTCAAGAAGAAAAAAGAGAGTAAGACCCGAACCGAGGAAACGTCACCCTAGACGTGCAATTGCAAGTACTCAAAACGGATATCTGTAGATTTTGAAGGAAAAAAGTCAATATTACAGCCCAAAAAGTCTTAAATATAACAAAAATGTTTTACGGCATAGGCAAAGCAAGAAGACTCGCCCGAATCATCAAAAGCGGGAACAGATGGGGCATGAAAGCTCGTCCAAATAGGAAAATCCTGAGCAGAAGAGGAGAGTCATGCCCCTCTGACCTTAACAATTTTATCTTTCCACTCTTTATCAGAAGTGTTAAAATGAGTCAAAAGAGCTCTACCCGTCCTAGAATGGAAATAAAACTGACCCATCTCATCTTTAATTTTATTAAAGGTATAATAGAAGAGAAGATCAGCGAGATTTAGGGTCAGACCCCTAACCCTATTCAGGGCAAAAAGACAAGAAAGAATACAAAAAAAGTTAGGGTTAACCTGAAGGGGAGCTAAATTCAACACCGACAGGACCCAAAGGTGGAAAGGATTAAAGGGAAATCGAAAGACAGGAAAATATAAAGCTGAGAAGAGCATCTCGCCTTCCTCCAAACCCTTACTGATGCTAAAATTCAGATTGTGATCATATTCCTGAAGGGTAACATTCGAAGGGACACGATTCTTCTTTCTCACCTGTGCAATAGAGAAAGATTTTCTCTCTACAATATCAAGAAGGAAGTACAATCGGCCCCTCAACGTCACCACTTGAACTCACCGCCGATGTCACCGAATTGGAGTTAGACGCACTAGTACTCGCTTGACTCATAATGACAGAAAAAGAGTGAGAAAGTGACTAACCTTAGCAAACGAGAGGAAGGTTATGCAGTGGCAGAAAAAACTCTTTCTTAGAATCAAGAAAGAAACTGCAGAGGTAGATACCCAAGTAACAAGGTCACAACATATATGGACAGGACGAAGCAGATAACGAAGAGGCAAATATGAGAGCCCAAAAATAGGGGCATAAATGGTAATGATAGATAGTAATAGCCGCAAAAACTACTCCACTTCCCAAAAACAGTTACAATTCCATATATGAATTGAATTCATAAAAGGAATTGGGGGCAAAGTCTGGAGGGAAAAATCCCCACCAATCATAATACACCATATGGCAGCAAAAGAGTAGCCCATTACTAAACTAAAAACACCTGGAAGCCCACTATCAATTGGAGGCCCAACAACAGAAACCATACACATATGTCAACTCAGCCCGATTAAATAAAGGAAGCTTCACTTGGCATAAAAATCGATGGATAGCCCAACCTCGGCAGGCTCATAAGTCCATAAAGCATGCCATTAAAACATGCACACAATTAGTAATCATAAATACCCACGTCTATGGGAATAAAGCCAAAGAAACGGCTCCATATAATTCTCTGAACAAAGCCTATAAATAGAGCATGAATGAGAATAAAAAATCATCGAATTCCCATCATTGTTCTTCTCTTCAAAAATTATTTGTTATCTCATCTATATTTTGTGTATTTCTTCTGATTTATTTCTTTAAGTGTTCGAGTGTGAGAAATTGCATCTACATGTTCTAAAATTATTACTGACACATAAATAAGTGTGCGGATTTTATAACAACATTAATTTACTTTACTTATGTGTCACAAACACAATTGACGAGACCGACTACCTAATAATTTATCCTCTAATCTATGAATTAACAGACACTCCTCCTAAGAGTCCTGTACCAATGTTGGACACTTTTCAGACACGGACACGCATGTCCGAGGCTCAGACACATGTTCGACACTTCTCTGAATTGTCAAGAAATTAATTTTTATTGGACACGGGGTGGACATGACTCGGACACGACTCAGAGACAGGGTGGACATGGCTCGAACATAGCGGGGTATGTTTTGTAATTTTTTTTTAAGATAATTGGGGTACCTAATGTAATTTTTTAGAAGTTTAAAAGTAAAATTTTGATAAAATAAAATAGAAACTACAGACAACAGAGTATTACACAGTAAATTTATTTTCTCTCACTTCCTCACTTAGTCTCTCCTCTTCTTTAATTATCTCTATACATGAACAAAACAATTTATTTATTTATTTTTTAAAGTTACATGAACAAGACTTTGTGAAAGATTGAAAGTACATATGTTTATTTATGTACATATTTAGCTCATTATAACTATGTCTTACTCTTCCGCACATTTTCGTTTGGAATTTGGATCAACTTTATTTTTTATTTATTTTCTATTTTGTCTTGTCTATATATTTCTTATAACAAAGATGAAATCATTGAAATTGGTCATATTATTTGTTATTGTTTTATTTGCAATTTTGTATTTATATATACCTGTTTGTTATTAGGAAAATGAATGTGCAAGGTTCTAGTAATTATATTTTGAATATATATATATATATATATATATATATATATATATATATAATTTTATAAGCGTATTCCCGTCGTATCCGTATCCTATTTTTTTAAAATTTGTCGTATTACTATATCCGGGTCGTGTTGTACACGTGTCCTGTCGATATTCATGCTTTTTGGCCTCTAATAACTCCCACTCATTTGTATCTTGTTATGTGTCACAAACGCTCACAAACGCGATCGACGAGACCGACTACCTAATAATTAATCCTCTAGTAACTTCCACTCATTTGTATCAGACAGACGAGACCCAACAACCTAATAAATCATCTTGTAATAACATCCACTCATTTGTATCCGACGGGATTTTACACAAGATTTGGAGTACTCATTAATCCAATAACCTTTATAGTTAAAAAAAATAATAATAAAAAAATAAAAATCACCTTTATAATAATGGGTTATTCGTTGCATAACACTAACTTTGAAATGTGATCCCCATGCATTTGTTTTGTCCTTGTTCAGTTGTTCTAATTTTGCTCATCCATCTATAAAATCCCAAACACACACACACACACACACACACACAAATCAACAACTCCATTCTACTTTTGCTCATCTATATATAAAATCCCAAAACAACCCAAAAACACACGCACACAGAAAAAACAACAACAATGGAGTCACTCCTCCCAATACTCCCAACAACTGTAATGCTTTCTATATATCCACTTCTTTTAGTTCTTTGCATTGCTCTATGGATGACAAGATTTGGTCACAAAAACACAGCTAGTAAGAAAACAGTAGCACCCGAAACTACCGGTGCATATCCTTTGATCGGTCACCTCCATCTCTTAGGACGCTCTCAATTGCCACACATAACCTTAGGTTCTATGGCTGACAAGAACGGGCCAATCTTCACCATAAAACTCAGGGTAAACCGAGCATTGGTAGTAAGTGATTGGGAGATAGCTAAAGAATGTTTCACCACCAACGACATATTCTTTGCCAACCGTCCCAAGTCTTTAGCAGCAGAGCTCTTGACCTACAACTATGCCATGTTTGGTTTTAGTCCTTACGGCCATTACTGGCGCCAAGTACGAAAGATAGTCATGCTTGAGCTTCTCTCCAACCGCTCGCTTGATTTGCTTGGACATATCCGAGTATTAGAGATAAGAACATCTCTAAGAGAGGTATACGACTTATGCATTAAGAAACAAAGTGCTTCAAATGTGGTGAAGATGGAGATGAAGCAATGGTTCGCGGATTTAACCCTAAATGTGATGGTTAGGTTGCTTGTAGGGAGGCGTTATTCACGTGACAATGAAGAGGGGGCACGAGTTGGGAAGGCCATCAGAGAGTTCTTTGAATTGCTTGGGGCGTTTGTGGTATCTGATGTGTTCCCTCTTCTGAGGTGTTTGGATTTAGGAGGGTACGAGAAGGCCATGAAGAAGATAGGAAAAGAAATTGATGATATAATTGAAGGCTGGCTGCAGGAGCATAAAAGAAAGGGAGATTCTGGCATGTTGAAGAGTGATCAACAAGACTTCATGGATGTGATACTATCCCTTCTTGACAATACTGAGGCCAAAGAACTTTTCGGTTTTGATGCTGACACAATCAATAAAGCAACATGTCTGGTACGTACATGTTCTTCAACCAAGTTGATTGTCATTTACATATATTGTATATATAGGGTTTGCCCTGAGGCTCCTACCTCATGCCGGTACTCAGAAAGGATCAAATTTGTACCGTCTGATTTTCGTATGCGATCAAAGAGGTTCTTTCCTATTTCAAAGTCATGACTACCTCTAGATGACAATGGAACAATTTTACCGTTATGCCAGGGCTCACCCTAATTTAAATATTATGTATGTTGTTAGATTTAGTTATTTAGAAGTAATTTGTTAATTCACTAAGTTTGAGCAAGCTCGAGCTTGGCTTGAATTCCTTTTGATCAAATTAAAAGGAGGTGTCAAGTGCTCCAACGTACTAAGCTATATGGGATCAAGTTAAAAGGAGGCTTTCTTTTACTTTCTAAAAGATAAATGATTTGTATGTGGGGTCATTTAAATTTGACCAACATCAATTTTTAACCATACCTTCCCTTTGAGTAAAAGGGCTTATACCAGCTGAATAAATTATTGGGGTGGGTGAAACCATTCATAAATGCTTTCATGATTAATTTTAGGGAATGCCTATCAGCAACAAATGGAAATTCTATATTAATTTTAGAAACTACAATGTATGTTCTCATTTACATAAATGGATTCCGCTGAATTAGGGAATGCCTATCAGCAACAAATGGAAATTCTATATTAATTTTAGACACTACAATGTATGTTCTCATTTACATAAATGGATTCGGCTTTCTCAGTGTTTTTAATTTCAAAAAAGATAAATGATTTGTATGTGGGATCATTTAAATTTGACTAACATCAAATTTTAACCATACATGTGCTTCCAAAATAAAGATTGGTACCAGGCAATTGTGAAACTCTTTCCATTTATTGTTATATTTTGTTTCCATCATCAAAGAAAATATTGAATGGCTAAAATTTGAGGTATGAATATTGATTCATCCGGTGCAGGGAATGCTAACAGCGGGCACTAGCACGACGACTGTGACGCTGACATGGGCACTCTCATTGCTCCTAAACAATCGACATGTTCTCAGAAAGGTCCAAGACGAGCTATACAAGGTGAGATGTTTCCTAGTGATAAAATGTATGTGACCATTGTGTCTAATTGGTTTATGGGTTGAATATGGACCTGACGATAAATATGGGTCTTAGCGAAGACGATAAATATGGGTTGCTATATATCTCATAGATGCATATAGTACATTATTGGACCTAGGGATATAGTCTTATCAAATTATAATAATTTACTTATTTTTATTTATTTATTTATTTGGTTTGTAAGAAATGATTTTATAAATAAAAGGAATTAGATATTGTTGAAGCAAAATTCAGCCCGACCTAGGATAATATTTTCTTGCAAAGAAAAGAGAGAAAATGGATGAACCTTGACTGACACCGGTGTGGTGACTGCCAAGAACTCTCAGTCTCTGATGAACAAGTCAGTCACCAGAGATTTGAAGTAATGACAGTAATTTTATATATCTATTCTTTCATACCCGTTTGGCTGACAGGGTCTGTTCTTATAACCGTTTCTTGTTTTAGATCGTTACAAGATCCAAGGAGGTTTGTTGGAGCACTTATCCATTGTTTAAATTTGTACTTTCCAGAGTTATCCTTATGTTGGTCCAACTCCGTTTAGTTTGAAATAAATCAATTTTCATTGAATTTATTTTGTCTCTATGTGTAACAAGGGTCATTTGTCCCACATCGGAATCAGATGGGAAAGTGATTGGGTATAAATGGGTGGGTATGCAGCACTATCTAATAGTTCGAGCTTTTGGGTAAATGGGCAAGCGTCCACCCGTTACAGTTGGTATCAGAGCCAGACCCAGTTCTTGATCCGGTGTCACGCCAAGCACCCGGCCTGGAAGGCGTTCGGGCTAGCATCCCGGGTAGGCAGGGTGGCCCGAATCGCAACGAGGGCGTTGCGAGTTTGGGTGGGGGAGAATGTAACAAGGGTCATTTGTCCTACATCGGAATCGGATGGGAAAGTGATTGGGTATAAATGGGTGGGTATGCAGTACTATCCAATAGTTCGAGCTTTTGGGTAAATGGGCAAGCGCCCACCCGTTACACTATGCCTGTTGCATTACTTTCTCAAATTTCCCAATCAGATATGTACCAACAAAGGTGCTAAGCATCAAACCACAACAAAGAGTGGAAACAGAACACAAAATCAGGGGACCAACCTATTAGAAATAAATGAGAGAGAGAATATATGAAACATATATTGTTTTGTATTGATATGAATATAAAATGTACATAAAGCACCTATATTATGCAAGTTAGGGTTACAGAGTGATGGACAATAAATCTAAGTATGGTAAGTAGGTACGTTAAGGCGCCTACAGTAAATTCTAGGATTACATACAATATAATCTAACATCCACTACAAGAAAAATAGTTTTTTACCACATACTTCCTACAACGGTTTTAAAATAACCTTGCTAGAAGACCCTTTCTGAACCTTGATTCTGAACCTTTCAGGCAAAAACCTAAGGATTTTCTTGTTAGTTTTCTTATATGTCATTTTCTTTCCTAGGTTTCAAAGGCAAAAGCATCTCAATCTTTGAAGATATGACTTCATCTGTACTCTCATGGGTAAGTTAAAGTACGTCTCATGCTTCCTTTACACTTTTACAATGAGTAATATTAACTAACTCAAATTGGACAACAGTTTTGAATAAAGAAAACAAGGCTCTAGTATTCCCCTTATGAGCATTATTCTCAGCTTGAGTCCATTCGGACTCTTCCTTTTCAATGGTAATACCTTTTCTTGTGACTGTAGGTTTTTTATAACCTTTTTCAACTGTAACTCAAACATATTTACCTTGAGTCATCAGAAAAGATGTCATGTTAGGTTTCCAAAAAGCATAGTTGTCACCATCAAACAAATGAGTACGTTGAATAAATACACCTTCTTTAAGAGCGTTATCCATATCAAAATTTTGAAAACAAAAATAGATTTTTAATTTTTTTAAAATATTCCACAAGAAATAACTTAATGTATAGATCATGGCTCTGATATCAATTATGAGTTGCACAATGCGGGGTGGTTGTAGAATATAATATGGATGGCAACCTAGAGGGAGGGTGAATGGGTTCAACTTGCCCTTTTATCCGATTTTTGCTTAAATTAAATTTACCGTAATAAAAGTAAATTAATCAAACCACAAAGCAAAAATAAATGCAAGTAAAGTTAGAGTAACACCGGATTTTAGAGACTAAACCAATTGGAAAACCTCGAGAATTTTTTCATTGTCCGGAGCATAAATGATCCATTATGTGTGAAGCAAAGTATACCGAACTTTGACTCAGGCTCACACTTCTTCACTCTACCAAGGCCCAACTCGCTGAATATGACTAAGAGTTTTGGACTAACCAACCTCAAAGCCACTCCATTGATGGTCCTTCTCACCCTGCGCTTGCCTGCTAACCTCTATAAATGGGATATTAATGATTCCCAGACTTAAATCCCACGAATTTTTATCCCTTGGATGAAATTGATAAAATTGAAGTTTTTTTATTTATTCACTCAATCCAAGGGATAGGAATCCCTAAGCTAAACACTTTAGTTAGAGTTTTAAGTTTGAATTGAGAATCATTATAGAAGAGCTATACAAGGTGAGATGTTTCCAAGTGGTAAAATGTATGTGACCATTGTGTGTAAATGGTTTATGGGTTGAATATGGACCTAACGATAAATATAGGTCTTAGCGAAGACAATAAATATGGATTGCTATATATCTCATAGATGCATATAGTATATTATTGGACCTAGGGATACAGTCTTATCAAATTGTAATAATTTACTTATTTTTGTTTATTTAATTTTTTTGTTTGTAAGAAATGATTTTATAAATAAAAGAATTAGATATTGTTGAAACGAAATTCAGCACTAACGATAACATTTTCTTGCAAAGAAAAGAGAAGAAAATGGATGAACCTTGACTGACACTGATGTGGTGCCTGCCAAGAATTCTCAGTCTCTGATGATCAAGTCAGTCACCAGAGAAATGAAGTAATGGCAGGAATTTTATATATCTATTCTTTTATACTCGTTTGGCTGATAGGATCTGTTCTTATAGCAGTTTCTTGTTTTAGATCGTTAGAAGATCCCAGGAGGTTTGTTAGAGCGCTTTTCCGTTGTTTGAATTTGTAACTTCCAGAGTTATCCTTATGTTGGTCCAACTCCATTTAGTTTGAAATAAATCAATTTTCATTGAATTTATTCACCTTATCTCTATCTTATAGTATGTTGCATTACTTTCTCAAATTTCCCCATCAGATATGTACCAACAAAGGTGCTAAGCATCAAACCACAATAAAGAGTGGAAACAGAACACAAAATCAGGGGACCAACCTGTTAGAAATAAAAGAGGGAGAGAGAATATGTGAAACGTATATTGTTTTGTATTGATGTGAATATAAAATGTACATAAAGCACCTTCATATAATAGTGAGGAATGGGGCAGCTGAGTGTTATGCAAGTTAGGGTTACGGAGTGATGGACAAGAAATCTAAGTATGGTAAGTGGGTACGTGAAGGCGCCTATAGTAAACCCTAGGATTATATACAATATAATCTAACATCCCCCTTCAAAATCAAGGTGGATTAAATGAAACCATCTTGAGTTTAGAAATGAGATCTCAAAAGTGGTATGGGGGAAGCGATTTGGTGAAGACATTTGATATCTGATCATGAGAAGTAATGGACTGTAACTGTAAAGTCTTCTGAAGAAGATGATGATGAACAAAATGGCAATCGATCTCAATGTGTTTGGTGCACTAGTGAAAGACATCATTGTGTGCAATTTGGATTGCACTTCTACTAACACAATAGATAGGAGTGGTAATGGATGAAGAAACTCTCAAGTCCTGAAGGAGCCAACGCAACCACAGAAGCTCAGAAGTAGTATCAGCAAGAGCCATGTACTCAGCTTCCGTACATGGTACGAAAGGCTAAGTGGGTTTCTAATCCAAAACAGTTTCTCAACCAAAACCCTTGACCATCAGTTACTGATCGTATAAATATGCATTGATGACATCATATTTGGTTCAACAAATCAGACTTTGTGCTAGAAATTCGCCTTGAGTATGCAAAATGAATTTGAAATGAGCATGATGGGTGAAGTAAACTTTTTCTTAGGATTACAAATCCGACAAACACTTGATAGCATTTTCATATGTTAATCCAAGTATGTCAAAGATTTGCTAAAGAAATATGGCTTAGAATAAGCCAAACATACCAACTCTCCTATTAGTCCAATCTTAAAATTAGATAAAGATGAAAAAGGTATAAATGTGGATATCAAGAAATATAGGGGTATGATTAAAAGTTTTCTTTATTTAACAGTAAGTAGACCTGACATCATGTTTAGTGTTTGCCTATGTGCTAGATTTTAGTCATGTCCAAAAGAATCGCATCTTAGTGATGTGAAACGAATATTTAAATATCTTTGTGGTTCAATAAATCTCGGACTATGGTACCCTGCACATTCCTCCTTTGAACTCACAAGTTATTCAGATGCAGATTTTGCAGGTTGTTGAATAGATCGAAAAAGCACAAGTGGCACTTATCACTTTTTGGGCCACTCATTGGTTTCTTGGTCATGTAAGAAACAAAACTCTGTCCCCCTATCTATAGCCGAAGCAGAGTATGTTGTTGTAGGAAATAGTTGTGCACAAAATCTCTATATAAAGTAACAACTCGAAGATTTTGGGCTAAAATTTGATCACATCCCATCCGGTGTGACTATACAAGAGCTATTAATATTTCCAAAAATCCCATTTGCACTCTCGCACAAAGCATATTGAAATTCGGCATCACTTTTTGCAAGATCATGTTGCTAAAGGTGACATTGAGATGCACTTTATCAAAACAGAAAACCAACTAGCTGATATCTTTACCAAACCGCTTCCCGAAGATCATTTCTGCACAATACGCAAACAACTTGGTATGATCATTCTATAAATATCTATTATTTATTCATCCTATATGTTCACAATATTAATCTGATCATACATCTCCTGGACAAAATGAAAAATCTAAAAATTTATTTAATCTGACCACACACTTGCACCAACTGTTCGCACAGATCATTTCCAAGTCTATCAGTTCGCACATTTCATCTATTTGTTCGCACATATCATCTCTAAATCTATCTATTCGCACATTTCCTCGATCTGATCGCACATATAATCCCTAACTTTTGATTATCTAATCGCACAGATCATTAATGTGTGCGTACACATGCAGTTTAGATCTTATCCTATCGCTCAGAACATGCCATCCAATCGATCAGATGAATTTAATATATAAGCTCTTCTGTCATCTTTTAAATCATTTCTTTCACTCTGTTCTCATCTGTCCCCTCTCTTTCTTCATCTCCGGTATCTACTTCCATTCTCAGGCAAGATCTACACTCTCATATCCTTACTCTACCACCAACACACTCATTATGGTTCGTACCAACCGTCCTCGCACCAAAAATGGTCCCTCCTCCTCCTCTCGACCACGAACTGTTGAGCATCCTCTATCCCCAAATAATCAGGATCCAAGTTATGATCCTGATCTCGATCTTCCTCTTCGTCAAAGGAGAAAACATGATGATCCTCCCGCTCCACTTCCTATTCTCGAGGCAAATTATCTTTCCCCAGCCATGGAGGAATTGTTCAATACAAAGTTCCGCAACTGTGAAATCACCCTAGGTAGAATTTTTTATCATGCTTTTTGCATTAATGAAAATCTGTCATCATTTGATAAATTTAGGGCTATGGAATGGGAATCATTCATCAATATTGATGAATCATATTACCCAACCCTAATTAGGGTCTTCTATAACCAACTGACTTTTGTCAATGGTTGCTTAGCTACACATATTAAAGGCATCAAAATAAGTTTTACTTATCATCAACTTAATCAAATTTTGGGCATTAAAGACGAAGGGGAATGCTTTTATGTTCATAAATTCTCTGTTCCAGCCCCTGATTTTGTTGAAACAAAAGCTATTCAGCATCTCTGTGGAAACCCCAATCCACAAATTTTTTTTTCAATCACTACATCTGACCTTACTTTTGAAAATAGGCTCATTCACAGTGCATTATATTATTGTATTATACCTAGGGGCAATGGCCATACCCATGTCTCTCATCTTAACATTTTTCTAATGTGGTGCATTTCCCCTAGTAGGAAACTAAACCTAGGGTTCAGTTTCTTCAATCACTTTCTTTAGTTCATAAAACCTACCTCCAAACCACTAAAAAACAATCCTCCTTCCCTACCTTATGGCATAATGCTTACCCAAATTTTCAAATACTTTAATGTGCCACTTGATTATGAAATTGACAAACGGGATGTTATTGATGACGATTGCCTCAGTGCCACACTACTAAAGAAAATGGATGCCAACAAAGATAGTCGGGAATTGGTTCGGACCTCTGTTCACCCTCCTGCACCTTCCTCCACTAAAAATCAACCATCTTCTTCATTTCAGCGGGCTGCGAATTTTAGCATGGATACTTGTGATGATCTCTTTCCCCCCTCCAACACCCCTCCTCCCATCCTAGCCACTGATACAATTATTGAGCTATTAAAATCTCAACATGCTGTAACAACTGCTCGAATGGACCAAATTTAAGCTACTGTTGAGTCCCTATCAAATTGGGTTACTGTCCTTGAGTAAAAAGTAGGTACAGGAGGTACCTCAATCATAGAGAGCAATGATCAATAAGCTGTTGACCTCTAAATTGTCAAGGAAAGGGCCAAAAATGTCTATGAACTAATTGATCGGCGCACGATAGTCAACAACATTCAGTTCGAACAAATGAAGGATATATTCAAAGCAATAGTTAACAAGTTCCAGCTATTCCCTTCAGGAAATCTCTCTAATGTAGGTCAAAAAGGTTAAAACTTATATCTTTATTTTATAACTTTTGGCAGTCTATGATGCTCTCAAGTAAGCTTCTCCATTATATTGTGTTGTATTTCTCTCATACAGTCTGTCTTCCTTTTTAATAATGTAAACAAGAGGGAGAAAATACATATATATTTTGCTATAAAGAAGATGCATGAATTAAGAGGGAGCTTTTATGAAATATATGTACTCTTAAATCATGTTTATATGCTTAACTGATTCATTGTTTGTCATCATCAAAAAGGGGGAGATTGTTGGCACAAATGGCCTTAAATCACCTTTTACTATTTTAATGAAAACAAACAAAGATAATAAGTGCTTTTAACATATCTCCATTTGAGATGCAGTTAAGAAAGAGCACAAATAAAGAACAATGGCATGGACTCATCAAAGAATGGATGACAAATGGAAAGCCTCTCTTCCATCAACAAGGGGTAGTTTAGAAATAGTGAAAGTAGATTAAATGTAAGGAAAATAGATTATAGCACTTTGGTTCAAAGTTCAAATTGCATTTCATTCATCATACAAACTATAACTTTTGTTAATTGAACTGATCGAGCAGATGCTAAATATGACCAATCAAATAGCCTAATTAAAATGACAAATTTTATATGATATGACTAAACACTTCAAATATGTGATCGATCAGATTGATTCATATGACCAAACAGACAGCCTCATATTATCGATAAGATGCATATGACAGTGAGTTTTGAAGTTTTCAAAAACTATCATATAACCGATCACTTCGTTCATATAACCGATCAGATGATCTCAAGTGATCGAATAGATCACTTCATATTAAAGATAAGATGAAAAAAACAATATGTCTAGAAAAACTGAAAGTTTTCATATGACCAATCAGAACATTTATATAACGGGTCAGATGGGTTCAAATCTAAAAAGTACGGGGAAATAGGATCTCATCCTACCGATCACATCGTCAATATTACCGGTCAGATACTCCAACTATCCAAACAGATGAAGCATGTGTTCGATCACTTGACTTCAAATGACCGCACAGATGAACCATATGTTTGATCAGATAAACAAAAATTCAGGACAATTTTTTGCTGAAATAGTACTTTTGGTAAGCTTTGAAACCTAATCTAATGTTGTTTAAACCTTTATATAATATCTTCAAGGTTTTCATTTTAACACGGTGATATATATCTAAAGAGAAAAACCTTGTGATCGAAAAAGGAACTTACATAGATCATTGTTTCATTCATATCATTTGAGCTTTAACCTTTGTGTTATATTCTATATTTGCTATAGGCTTATGAGCTTTGATCTGCGCATCAATTCTGAGAGTTTTCTTTTACCATTGTTCAAACATCTTTGTAAAGGTTGGCGTAACCCAGCAGAAGTCTAAGAGATGATTGTTCTCTTAGCAAGAAGATTTAGAAGTGGTTGCTTCTTTTACCAGTTTGCTCTCCACCTTTAAGGAGAAGCCTTATTGGGTTTTTGGAAAATCTCAAAAGGGATCTTGAGTATAGGAGTAGGAGTTTCCGAACCTCGCTAAATCTTGGTGTTTTGAGTTTACTTTTTCTCTCTCTACCCTTTTTACTTTGTTATTAAAATTTTATTGCCTATACTGCTTATTTATTGGCATGCTTTCAATTAATCATTTATTTTTTTATCTTATATAATCTTTGAATCGAATTATTTGGTATCGTTCTACTTAGACTCTATTCACCCCCCCTCTAGAATCATTTATTGGGTAACAAAGGTGATCGAGCACCATGAAGAAATTATCCCAAAATATTCTAAGTGTTGATAAAAAAAATGCTTCGAAAAAGATTTGAAGACAAATGGCTAAGTATAGAATTCTTACTTGAGCACAATCCAAAAGGCTCAAGCATATGCCAAAAAGCACAAGCAGAAGCTTTTCTGCACGAGCCTTTGCTGTTAAGTTAGATTTCTAAGTTGCGGGATTAATTCTAATTAAGTCATATTTCATTCTAGACGGGCCAGATCCTATCCTCATTAAAAGTCAGTTGCTTCTATAAAAGGATGCACAAGGCCACAGAAAAGCTCTATCTTCTTTTTACAAGTTATTCTAGATCTAATGGTGGCTTTTAGGGTTTTTAAGTTCTTTCTAAAGCATTGAAGGTGAAGATCCTCAGAAAAGAAGTGCAGTCCATGATGATGAAGTCCACAACAATACAGATGATATCTTTCGTCGTCATGAGTAGCTAAATCCTCTCTTAGGGCATTGATGTAACCCTAATCCGAGTACTATGGTTTGATTGTTCTATACTTTGGGATTTTAACTATTTATATATTTTGATTGCATGATTCTGAACAATTGGCTTAGATCAATTAGGTTTTAATGAAGTATGTAGTTTTTGAATGATTAATATATTGTCTTAGATTTAATTATTTTTAAATTATACTCAACCTATTCTTAGTGTACAAGATTGACGGCTAAGGGCTTCTCAGACAATAAGAATAGAGATCTTACAATGGTGTTCAAACGTTTTTCGTGAATGATTGTTTTCATAATCTATGCCTAGGGAAGACGAGTTATATTACAACATTAGTAAGAAGTAGGTAGGCAGATAATTCGTGCCAACCGAAGATAGGTTATTATTAAAATTCATGAAACATCTTTCTTTAAATCTGAATTAAACGAATGTTATTGAGTTTAATTCCATATGATACATGAGTGTTGAAATCCCAAAGTTAAAAATTTGATCATAGTATGGGGTTCGTGGTGAAGTCAATCCCTAAGATATTCTCTCTCTGATCTCATTCCTTTATTTAGTTTAATTTTATTTATGCTAGTGACACATAACAAATAAAACTATCTTTTTCTCTAAATTAAAATAGTATTAATTGAAGACTTCATAATCCACCAGAGTCTATGAGGTTCGACACCACCCTCTAAGTAGCCCTATATTGTAAGGGATTTGTTTTATTACGAGTGGTAAATAAAAAGTACACATCACCGGACATCGTGAGGTGTGTCGTGTGAGTCCCGGGAGTTAGTTGGGGAATTTCTTTGAGTTTAGAACTCTTAGAAATGCATTTTGAGTCATTTTGGCACTTTTCGGATTATCGAGCTGGGAAGACCCGTGTAGGTCCCACACCGAAATTTTTTTCTTGTGTGGTTAGTCTTTTTGGGTCGATGTACATTTTATGATATTTATTTGCAGTATATTTTAGTGGCTATGTTTATTTCATCATTTTAGCAAGTGTGTGTATATATATATATATATATATATATATATATATATATATATATATATATGCAAAATGAGACAAAATAGATTTTTTGGGTCAAGTGGACCCCACATGGATTAGACCTCATTACAAGGACAACATATTGGCTAAAATTCTGCATTCTTCTTCCTCCAAAATGTGGCTGCTCTTTCTCTCTCTACATAACTCTTTCTCTCTCTAAAATCTCTAATTTCAAGCCTAGATTTCATCTCTTTCTAATTGGATTTGAACTTTGCCATTGAAGGTAAAGTTGTAGAGCTTGACGAGAGCTACAAAGTGATCGTAGTAGATTTCTAATTGGGTGATCTTGAGGATTTCAAAATTTTGGGGGTTTTCTCTTCAAAGAGGTAGAGTTGTTTAATTGCCATATTCGTTGGATTTGGTAGATAATTGAATGTTTTTCCCATTCTTTAGCACGTCAATTTGAGGTTTAATTGCATGATTTGATTATAGGGTTTTGGTTTACATTTGAGCTTGGTTAAATTGAGGTGTTCTTTGTGATTATATGTTTATCTTGTGTATAATTTTCAAATGACATGCTATGAACCTATTTTGTGATGGATTATGTATCTCTCTTATATGGTTGTTGTGGTGTCTTTGGCTATGCACATGCTAGGTGATATTAGAATGTTTGGAGCATGTTATAATTGTTAATTTATCTCGTTGTAACCATAGAATTTTCTATTGTACTATGGAAGCATGATGAGTAGTGAATGATCATTTTTGAAACATTTACATATACATGGCATAATGATGTTCATGGGCAAAAAAGTTGTGTGGGTTGAGGGAGGTATGTGTGGATATGCAAGGTTGTGGGTGTGATATGTGGTTGCATTGAGCATTTCATGCATGCATTGCATGTGGATGGTGATGATGACTATTTGAAGATGGAAGTGGTGTATGTGAATCCCTTGCATGACCCCTTCCTCTCTTTCCTATTCATTGCATGTAAGGCATGTGATTGCTTACCTTGCTTGAGGAGATGCCACTTAGGTAATCTCTACTGGGCCTTGTGCTCATTCCTATACATTTTTTAGGTTGCGAGAAGGAAATGGTGGATGTTGATCCTCCATAAGCTTAAGTGGGACTAGAGGATTATTTTTGACATATTTTGTAACCAAACCTTAATTTTGTAAAGCCTTGGCTCATGATATGTATAAGTTTTGTAAAGTATGGCATTGTAATTGTAAATTTATCTCTTTAGTATTATTTTGATGTAATTTTAAAGGTTACAATGGCCATTGAGGTGTGTTTGAACCATATTGCTATTTGTGGATGAATTGAATGAAAGATGTACGATTTTAATGCCTATATTGATGTTTAAGATTATGGGACAATTATATTATATTTTCGTAAGTTGGGACAGGTTTACCTTAGGTTTAAGCTCACAAATGAGCTCGGTTGCATTTGGGGCTTTAGGCACCAAAAACCTGCAGATTTTTTTCAGCTTCCAGGGCCTGTCGGCCAGCTAATGAAGAAAATCAGTCGACCGATGATGCTCTTCGATCTCAGGCAGAGAGTTGTATTCTCAGGATCTTCGTTTCGACTGGCTGACTAACACAGTCAGCCGACCGACCCTCCCATTCTGGCCGGCCGACCCTCCCATTCTGGCAGGCCGACACAGGGCTGTCAGTTGACCGACGCTGCCCAGTCCCTTTATCTTTGTTTCCCTATTCATCCATTCATGCCACAGTACACTAATATATATCTAATGATGTATTTCTCATACTACGATATTGGGAAGACCCTAATGCCTTTAAATGACCTCGGGTTCGGGTAAGGACCCGGATAATGATTTGGACCCCCGAGTTTGGGTCGTTACTTTTCGTGAGACATCTTTTAACCCGTTGTGGTAGCAAGCAATGAAAGAGGAGCTAGATGCATTGACAAAAACTCAGACATGGGATCTGGTTGATTTGCCTCCTGGATAGTCTGTAGTGGGATGTAAATGGGTGTACATGATCAAGACTCGTTCAGATAGGTCTGTTAAGCACTACAAGGCTTAACTTATAGCCAGATGATTCACAAAAGAATATGGCATTGATTTTGAGGAGACATTTGCTCAGGTTGCACGCCTTCCATCTGTTCGTACTTTATTGTTGTGGATACTTCCCGTGATCAGGGACTTTTTCAAATGGATGTTAAGAATGTCTTTCTCAATAGAGATTTACTTGAGGAAGTTTACATGCAACCTCCTCCAGGTTATCATCATCCTCCTAATAAGTTGTGTCGACTCCGAAGAGCTCTGTATGACCTCAAACAGGCAACTTGAGCTTCGTTTGCCAAATTCAGCTAGACCATTCCTCATTTTGTATTCTCTATTAGCTATTACGACTTATCTTTATTCGTTTGATGCATTAACCGATGTATTATTCTTCTTTTACTTTATATTGATGATATGATCATCGCTGGAGATGATTTGACGAATTTTAGGAGGTCAAATAGTTTCTCAGTAGTTAGTTTGAGATAAAGGATTATGGACCCTCAATTATTTTCTTGGTTTTGAGATCATTACAGCTACCGATGGTTACTTCCTCACTCAAGTAAAATACATATCAGACCTTCTTTCAATATGAGGCATAACTGATAGCAAGATTGTTGATATACCACTCGAGCACAACACGAGACTCAATCTACATGATGGCAAATCTCTTCAGGATGGTACATTGTATAGACAATTGGTTGGTAGTTTGGTTTATCTCATAGTTACCTACCCAAACATCTCTCATGTTTTTCATATAATTAGTCAATTCATGGTTGCCACTAACTCTACTCATTTTGCTATAGTTCTTCTAATTCTTCGCTATCTCAAAGGCACTATGTTTCATGGGCTTTATTTTTCTTCTTAGTTATCACTTGTTCTCCATGCCTATTTAGATGCATATTGGACAAGAGACCCCACAGATCGTGGTTTACCATAGGCTTTTGTTTCTTTCTTGGTGATTCACTTATCTCTTAGCACAGTAAGAAACAGACTATGGTTGCTCGTTCTATACCCTTGGGGCTTGTTTGAGACCATATAAGGTTTTGGATAGCTTGTAAACATGTATAGGATAAGCATAGTCCTCGAATACGGGAGGTTATTTTACAAATACCTCTTCATCAATAGACCCATTTAGGAATGCAGTTTTGACGTCCATCTGATAT